TTTTTTTTTTTTTGTTGTTGTTGTTGTTCAGCAGTATATAGAGATGTACAGTAAAGATTATTTTTCAATGGCGTTTACAAGGCGGCAAATTTTTAGCTTCATAGTATCAACAGCAGTTCTGGAAGCTCATGAACACTGGAAGAAATGCTGGTGAACAGACCAGAACCACATCATATTTATCAAACACAGCTAAGTAAATGCAACAGGTATATAGAGGGTGCATTTCTTTTTGCCTGAAAAACTGCATTTCGCATATTTTCCACGGTACTAATGCAGAAAATTTTCTATCTTTTCTGCCTTTTTTTTTTTTTTTAAATATTAAAATGTTTAGAAAAATGTAATACGAAGTTTACGCATTTATACTAAAATGCAATAACAACGTTCATATAAGTCAAATATTTTCAACTGTGTCGCGAAAATTGAACACATTTGCTGAGTTTTAGACTCAGTAGTTAATAAGAATAAGTTTTTTGCTCAGATTCAACCAAATTTTGTCGTATTTAGTTGGCGTAACAAAAAAATTTAGTAATTTATTAATGGCATACCGCCCACTGGAGATAATCCACTTTTTTTCCAACAACAAAAACTCTACTTTTTTCTATCAGCAGAATACCAGAACAGAAAAGGTTTTAAGCAGCAAAATATCTCATGACACTAAGTGCATAGATTTGGATAAGTTCGCTTGTTGCTAAGTAGTAGTAATATTGCATTCCAAATTATTCATTGTTTTGCTTATTTTCCATTTAAATTTATTACTACTTACCTTCTTTTTCTGCCGTTTTCGTTAACATTATATATCAACTTAAATCTTTAAACAGACCTTTAAGCGGATTTTAAAAGTAGTCAAATTGGAAATAAAAAACTGTCTTATTCAAACTTTCGGAAAATCTTCCAAAAAAACTTTCTAACTCCTATTCGATATTGTATGAAAGATATACCATGTAAATACTTTCACATCCGATTTCGTTTCTCGTTACGCTCAGTTACTACCACGAAAAAAATTTGCAGTCATCGAAATGCGAGCTTAATTCCACACTGTTTTAACATGATTGCGTTCTTTTCCTTTTCTGAATGCCAAAAACTTAAAGTAGATTGTAATTTAGAATCCTCAAAAACTTCCCAAAACCCTAGTGACATGCATTTTTCAATTTGAAAATCAAAGATAAAGACTTCTACCAGCCACTGAGAAGCAAAAGCAGGTTTATTTTTTATGTTAATTGTTCAACTTTTTTAGGATATGTGATAATTAGGAAAAACTACAACTTTTGTTGTTTTCTTTAAATTCCGAGCTGTGCTTTTTTCCACTCTGCCTTATACGTGTTAGCAATAATGTTTCTATTCCAGTTGTGCGGTGTATTGTTTCTTTACCCGCCGAGATAATCACACAAATTCTCTTAAAAATAATTTCACTCTAACGCAAGTTCCGGAAGCTTCCGAATGTCTGATCAGCTAAATTTTGTAGAGAATGAGAATCACGTAACACTTTAAGGAGTTCATAAAATACATAGATTGAACAAATATTTTCATCAGTTGAAACCGATTTGTTTTTGTAAAGTAGCCCGTAACTGTCTAACACGTGATGCTTCAGAAGAGAGTTCCTACAGTTTCATGAACCGACGATTGCACATACAGTTGCATATGAGTAAAAACGAAAAATAAAAAAAACTAATAAATTAGTAAATAAATAAATGAATTAATTAATTAATTAAACAAATAGCTAATTAATTAATTATTTAATTGAAGTAAAATAAAATAAAACAAAACAAGACAAAATAAAATAAAAAGAAAAAAAAACAAATCCCATCCGAAAGTCAAAAAATGTGAAAAAATGTCTTTATCCAAACTAAAAAAATTCAGTCCTAACAAGCATCTGGCTACCTGAACAGTTACAAATTAAGTCATGGAAACAAATTCACATTTCTCAACAAGTGGTGGGGAAATTCCACCTTCTGATGTCAGGTTCAAAAGATGAACTCAAGGAAGTTTCAGAAAAAAATTATTGATTCTCGGATACACATCTTTCAGTCCTTCAAGTAACCGGAAGAAGGACCACAATTTCCCAGCGAAGAAAGCTAATCTTTGAATAGCTCTTCAAAAATTCTAAAATTTTTGCGCTGCGAAACAGTAAAGAACGTCTTGAAAAAATCTCGTCCTTTTAGAGCGGTGGAATGCGATTTATAACGGTTCATGAAAATCACCAAATTCAGTGCAGTTTATTTGGCGGTTGTTCATGAACGACATTCATTCGTATTAAGCGTTCATGAACATCTTCCAAATGCTCGGCAAATGTTCAAACCGTTTGCCTACTCAAAATTCCATGAGCTAGAGCTGGCCGTTCACGGGGAAACTGGTTGGAAATGAACTCTGGTATACTCATATCACTTACGTCGCAATCAAACTGCACTTATCTAGTATTTCGATCGGGACATGGGAAAATATTTCTGGATTCTTAATACTGACCAACACCGTTACTCAACACTGACCGCATGAACGGCATTAAATTTCGCTGAAATCCCTTTTGTTTGTTGAGACATTTCTGGAACGAACGTCACGCAGCCAAATAGCTACGATCTGCCTGTGCTATATGGCTGCATTTTCACTCGTGTTTTTCGTAGGCTTTTACACACAGAACTTTTTGGCAAACGTTCAGCACTAATTATTTTTTCTTCACTTTTCTGTAGAGAAACGTTAAATACCGTGCAAGAGGGAATTTCTACTGTATGATGGCTTAAAATTTTAGCTTTCCATGATAACAAGTCAGGATTTCATCCACACTTTTCGTTCTTTAGGCGTTCTGGAATGATCAAGTGAATTGTTATAAGTCTATTTCTTTGGTGGTTTTATAGCAGCGTAAAGTAGCTTGCTTATTTCATTTATAAATTTTTGGTTCTGTGGTCAGTCATCACCAACTGTACGTTGTTTAGCTTGTTTGCTTTCTTACATTATTAGGCTCTTTATCAGAGTTATTATTTGAGCCAACACCATTGCCGAAAAAATTTTTTTTTTTGTGAGTCATCTTACAAACTTTTTACCTTGCATTTTTGGCTGAGAACTTGTTGCGAAATCCAGTCAGAAAAGCACTGTTTTTTTCACCGGTCTGTGACAGCTTCAGGTTTCAAATTATCATCACCGCTTTATCAAAAATTGTTATTTGATTGAACTGAACTTCCTTGACGGGAATTCCCGCAGCGACTTTGTTTTATATTTTTCAAATATATCTACAAACTGGAGGCTTGTTCTGGTGCTTGTTGTTCACAGTTTCCCATTACTAATAGTTTGTTTCGAAATACGACAGCTGAAGTTTCATTCTTTTGCACATCGTCACATATGATACTGGTATTGAATGCTTTTTAGATATTTTGTTCTGAGTAGCTGACTGGGGACGGGATTTGTGGAAGCTGTGATGAGTTCGAAACATGAAGGTTAGATTTTTGATTGATCGCTGTTGTCGCTTTTCTTCTCAGAGAATTCGCTCTCTTCTTCCGTACTGAGAAGGTCAAGCGCCTTCAGCTTTAATGCCAGTGAGTAGTGATGAGAAGTTCTGGAAAAATTTTTTTATTTCTTCAATAGATACATTTCCTTATATTAGTCACTTTTTTCTGAAACTGATAACTCAGCGGTAGAAAATGGGATAGCAGTGTTCAGACGTGCAGTTAATTTTTGTAAGAACCGCGACCAGTTACTTTCGATTATTGAGCATGTCTGCACACACAGAATTTATAACTTATAGTTGTCTTTATGCTTGCTCGTTTGCGTTTTCGTATTAATTCTAATTGTTTTAAAATGTGGAACAAAAATTGTTTAAATTTCTTTATTCAAAATTCTAACTGAATTGATGTTATTTTTCCTTTTTTTTTTTTTTTTAATTTCTCTGTGTTACTGCCAAACTTCTTGATATTTGTTTAAATGACTGAAAACAGTAGGATAATAGCAGTGACTGCTACAGCTAATTTTAAAAATTTTTGGAATATAAATTTGTTACGAAAGAGTCGGTACTGATGTTTCAGTGAGAAACAGTAGGAGCCATTATTTCTTAGGCATACTTTTTGAGAAGAAAGACACTGTGTTCTGAGATATCTACGCCTCGAAATAGGGTCCTTTCAATGAAAAAAAGACCTTTGAGATGGGTTTTTTATTGCTAGTATTTTCTAGCTATTTTGATTATAGTTTATTAATATTTTGTTTTCTTAGGACTGGCCGACTCGGAAATTTTTTTTTACGAGAGCATTCTCCTTAAGCAGTTTCCTTGACCTTACTCTTACAGGTTTTATGTCTTGGTGGTTGTATTCTGTTTAATTTATGAGGGTTAAGTTGAAGGAAGGCGGTAGGGATAAAATCCAACACTTATGGCTTGCACAGTTGGACAAAAAAAATTTTTTTAATCAAAACTAAAATCAGAGAGCTTGAAATACTTTTGTTTCTTATTCAATCCCTGGTTTAGTTTCCATCAAAGACAAAATATAATTATTAGCATTTTTAATGGTTATTAAAGAGGCAGTACTTATTTTTGCTGGTTCAGGCGTCTCCTGCGATGGATGTATGGCTCCAAATTTTACCGGGGACCGGTACAAATGTTTGAGGTGCTATGACTTTGACTTGTGCGCAAGATGCTATGCGGAAGAACGGAAGGGTAAGAAGGAACGATCTAGGGATACAAACAGTATGCATCAGACCAATCACCCAATGCAGTGCATAATGACTCAGCAGGACTTTGGTATAAATTTTCATACACTGTTTGTTGCTTAATGTGCGTTTATCATTTTACTTGTGTCCTCCATCACTTTTGCTTTCTGCTAACCTGCCATTTTTTTTCGATAGTTTCTTTTTAGAGTATCTTTTTGTTTCAAAACTTGTACAAAACTCTTAAATTGCATTTGAGGTTTTTCTTATGCGCTTCATGGTTACATAGTAGAAAACTACTGTATTTATGCAGTTATCTAATTTTACTTATTGCTAGCACATTATATAGTTCACTGCGGAACTCTACTTTCTTAAAAGTCCTTGATCTTTGAAGAAAATTTCAGGTTTTGAACGCCATAACTGTTAATTTCGTCTTTTATTTTGTTGAATTCTCATTTTTCAATTATTATTTCAGAAAATATGTGTTAGTAAAGCCTTTTAAACTTTTTTAAAATTATATATTTATTAGAACGTACGTATCGAGGGGATCCTGCGCATAGCTGGGAGCGATCGCGTGTCGTTATTTTCACTTGTCCAGTATGCGGAGCTCAAGGTTTTTCTAGGGAACGGCTAGTGTCCCATGTAATTGAAGAGCATCCTTCGCCTTCTGCTCCACCGCCATCTCATGCTAAAAAAGAAGAAATGGTACATTAGTGAAAAAAGTTTATTTGTTTTTTTTTTATGGATAAGTGTCTTTGCAGTTTTTGCAACCAATTTTTTTTTCAGCTAGTCGCAAGTTTTAAGATAAAGTGTTAAGAAAGTATAAAAAATTAATTTATTCTTTAGATGTATCTAAATTTTAAAAATTGTTATTCAGGCTTGTCCGATTTGTATATCAACAGACTCATACCGTATAGGTTTCGCTGATTGTGCTGCAAACCATTTGACAGATATGGCAGCTCATATGGCTGAATACCATATCCATACTTCATCTACACCGTCGACGGGGTGAGAAACATTCGTTATCTTTGATTTTCAGAACATATTATGTAAAATATGCTACGTTGAATTCACTACCAAAGTTAATGAGGATTGAATTTCAAATTCCATGTCAAGTTGAAGACCTTTGAATTACCTGTTCATGATCTTTCTGTTTTACTTATAAATGCAATATTTTTTGGTACAGCCAAGGACAAAGTTCGCAGCCAAATACTGGTGGTTTTACTGAATATCTTCGTGACGATGACTTAAGGCGAGTGATTTTGAACAACATTCCGCTGATGAGTGACGTTGAATTTGATGATTCTATTTCGGAAAGCACTAGACGGCATATAAGCGCCTTAATTTCTTCCAACAGGATAGCTGTCAATGCTCTTTGTTATTCTCGTCGTCGAACAGAACGCCCTGGAGAACGTTCAGGTTGACTTATTAGTACTGCTAAAATATTTTAGATGCATTTCGTAATCTTAATTTTCTTTTTATTAGAGTTTATTTTGTCTGATAATTATTTATCTACTTCAGTGGAGTTTTAGGTCATGAAGAAGAGGGGTCTTCACAGTTCATTTCATCTGCTTCTCGTCCATCCTCGCACGCCATAAGAAGCACCGGATTTGGCCGCCACTGGGTAATTTTAATGCTTAACTTTAATAATCTCCCTGTAATTACTGGATTTTTGACTTCCGAGAGTCGCCGTCAGCTGAATTAATTGGTGACTTTTCCCTTTTTTTAAGGATATGCATTCTTAAAAAAGTGGAAGATCCGATTTTCGATTGGCTGCACAAAGTAATCAGGAGTTGATGCACTTTTAGAGCCTACGGCTTTAAATAACTGTCAAAACTGTTAATTTTCTCGTTGATATAATTGACCTACCCTGCAGAAGACCGAAATGGGAAGCTGGGTTTAAATCAGTTGCAAAATATTTATTTTTTTTGGATTGTCTGAGGTATAGCTTTGTTCCTGAATCGTTTTTTCGGGAACATTTTCTGTCGTTTTATTTGGGATTCCCTTCATATGTGGGTCGCTGCATGGGTTCTCGAACTCACTTGGAAGTTGGATGGGGATGGAAAGGCAGTTTCGTATTTGTTGCACACTTCCAGCTTAAATTTTTGCTTATGTTTTGTCTTCTCAAAATTCGGCTTCTCATTCCAAGTTTTTAAGATATTAACGACGTTTGAAGGAAAACTAAAGTTTTGAGGTTTTATAATCACTGTGTAACTTGAGTTTTTCCTGGGTTTTATGGTTTTAAGCTGAGGGAGATTGACAACCTATGAGCTTACCGGTTTGTGAAGGAGATTACAAGTTCAGTTGCAATTTTGCAGTCTCAAAAGCGCTTTGATTCTAGCTTATTGTCCCTTCTAAATACAAAGTCTCGCCAAATTTCTTAAAATAAGTGAGTGAGGGAAACACAGATAAGCGCTGCAAAACATGAAGTTTGGGCAATTTGCCAGCGTTTAGCAGATCTTAGGTGGGTTAATGATGTGAGAGTCTTGCGCAATAATGTCCGTTTTATAAATGAATTGCCGCCTATCTTTTGCTTCATTAAGAGTCCCCTACACAGGTTTTAAAGCACCTATAGTCTTGTATAGGTGGAATTCTGTAATTCTGAATTGTATTGCGTAGGTTCTAGGCTTTGTTCTACAGTTCCCATCGCGAAAGTTTTCATGGATTTTTTTTTAGCCATCATTAACGACACATAGACAAGGTGGTAGCTCATTTTTCAACAGCCTTCCATCGAGACTTAGACCGCTAAGACAATTTGATACGGAGAGTACTCGTACTACAAATTCTACCGCTCAGTCAGCTTCATTGATTCGGTCATTTACTCATAGGGATTCTGTTTCAAATAGTAATGCTGCTGTAGCGAGCAATAGAACAGCACAGCCAGTTGGAGTACTGATACGTCCAGTCAGAAGTTTGTTTACACTTCGTTTTTTTTTTAATTTCAAGTGTTTGGCATAAGTTACCTACTGCATTGAGTTGGCGAGAGGCGTTGAACGTGTGACCCCGTTTTCTTTTTCTTCTCTCCATGGAAGAAGTATATTTAACTCGCAGAAGACAAATACTGTTCCTATCTTTCTCATTGTCTTGTTGGTTGAATTTTTTTCACAATCTATTGCGATTCCGACAGTTTGTATTGCATTGTTTTTGGAAAGCAAAAAATAATGGTTTTTTTCTGGATAGGATGTCAGAAGATTCATATTTATTCCGTTAAAAAAATTTTTTCTGTTCTATTGAGATTTCGAAGTGTTTCTGGCAATGTTGCATAAAAATTTTCGTTTAAGAAGATAGGTTATTTAGGACCGCAGCAGAACGCCTCGTCGGATCGCATGAGCAGTGAAGCTACGTCTCGTCAGCAGTTTTCCCGAGGTGCTAATCGTTTTACAGATTTTGACCGCAGCAGCAACTCCAAGTACAATCGTGAATTCATGCGATCGTTTTTCGAAAATGCTCGCAGAACAGAGCAGTCCTCTGTGAGCAGGAGAAAGGGTGTGAAAAATTTAACGTCAAATGGCGGCAACGTTGAGAGACCTGATTCTTCAAAGCCTCTCAAGTGTGACCGTGAAACACAGAAAACTGAAAGGCAGTCCTCTTCATCTCCTTCAACTAGTGGACCAAACAGTCGTTCTGCTCTTGTAACGGTGCGCCGATGTGAATCTAATTCTGTTGATTTTACTGCGGTGAAAGAGCCTTTATTGATTGAAAGGGCTGGCAAAGCCGTTTTGCTTTTGCCGGAGCCTTCTACTCGAATCAGATCCAAAGAAAATTTGAAGACGTCTGAGAAGGTTTTGGGAAACAAAAAGTCGAAAGCAGAAGTGAAAAAAGTCAAAGATTTTAAAGCTGTAGCCAAAGAGAAAAAGTCAAGAAGGAAGCGTGAGAAGCAGCATGTAGACGTAGATCATCGGTTAGGATGGTTACATTCGTACCAGCCACTATTTACTTCTTCAGCTGAACTTTTATTCCCTTTACCTCTCGTGCACATCGGTGAGGAAGAAAATGATCAAAAGATATGGGGTAACCCAAAATCAATTCCTGAGCTCCCTATCCCAGTGGCAAAAGAGCCAGCAAACGATGAGGATATACCAGATGAAGACGATGATGACTTAGCTCCTAAACTTGTAGTCAGTGTTGGGAAGTCTCTTAACTGCACATTTGCTCCTTCCTCTTTTAAGAAAGCTTCTTGTCTTACTTCTAGTGAAGACCAGGCAAGTTTTTTTCCTTTTTAGTTAATGTTTTTCAAATCTTTTATGGGAATAGGGTGGCGGAAGTTTCAGTCATTCTTGCTCTGTTTTACACGTCAATGGCTTGTTTAACACACAGAAGTTTAGGGGAAAGGCAGAGAGATTTCTTTGATACGGAAATCTTTAAATGCTATAAAGAAAATGGAGGAGACTCGAAGAGCGGAGGCAGCTCAAAATTTTACACCTTTCATGAGGGTTAGTTTGCTGTTCTTGTTTTGCAGTTTCATTACCCGTCTTTTTAGGGCTTTTGCTCGTAGTTCATAGTTTTGTTACGTGTGCTTTGAAGAAAGTAGTTTAGAAAAAAAGCTGTGTGCTGTGTGTTCTCTTGACAAAATTAGTGTTGTATGTTCATTTTTACCGCTGTATTTTTCACAGAAAACGTCACAAGATGTTAAACAGGACGAAGAGAAGCGGGTATTTTCAAAAAATTTGCTGCTGACTTCTGTTTCCAGAAGTCAGGAAAATCATACTAATGGGAAGGTTGAAGAATTGTCTCGTATGGACAGCGTTGACGGTTTTCAGAATGCTTTCAAGGTCAGAATTGCTTTTTAAAATTTTCAGAGGTTTTAATAGTTTTTGTGCTTTTGTTTAAGGAAGCCACTGAGGAGCTACTTCTTGGCTCTATTGTTCTCGAAAGACGTGGCAGTTACAAACCTTTTTGTGTCGTTCCGGTAACATACCTTCTTTCCTACATTTGTTGTATGCTTCTTGTGAGCTACAGGTTTTCAACTGCAACTTTTTTCTTCCTATGTTTGGGATCAAAAGGAGGTTGAAGTTGAAAAAGCTGCACGGTTGAAGTTTTTTGTAAGGACGGAATAAAGATTTGCTTAGAAATTTGCAACGGAGCCTTTAAAAATTCGCATTTTATTCTCTCTTTTTTTGGTTAGATGTTTTTTTGAAGTGCCATAATCACATGAAGACAGTATGACTTACATTTTTCACTCAGGAAGTTGTGACATTGCTTTTTTCCGCTTTATTATATACTTCACTTTTTGTGGGACGGTTTCCTCATTGGTTAGGTTTTCAGGAAGAGCTAAGCAATGATCTGGTCACGAAGTGGTTAGAAAAAGAAAGGAGTCAAGATGGGGAGGCGTTAGGATTAGGTTTTAATTTGGACAATTCTATAAAAGAACTAATGTTGCAAGTACCAGATTTCAGTGATGATGGTAAGTGTTTGCACTTTTTGAGGCTTCCATTTGTTTCAGTCCATTTGCGACCAGATTGTGGGTCTTTTTTTGTGTAGATCTTTTCGATAAGAAGGTGGTTATCTCTTGTGACGAGGAACCTATGTTTGATCCTGGAGAGGGTACTGATAATGACTTGTTAGCGAAGAAGTGTGTTAGCTGTGGTATCATTCAAACCCCACAACCATACTTTGCAGTGTAAGCCTTTCGCGTATGGATATTTTGTATTTTACTAGCGAATCTTTGTTGCTAATTCGTCTACGTGGTTTTTTTTTTTTTGTTTTATAGTGGA